TCAGTGACAAAGACACCGTGTACGATAAAAGATTAACTAGTTTCTTACTAAATTTGATTTAGTATTGATTATAATATTTTTACTTATCTAAACGCTCTACATTTGCTTTACTAAGGTTTACATCTACACCCTCCGTCCTATAAAAAAACATGATCCTAGAGTTTAATTTTTTTCGGAGGGAAGGAGTAAAGGATATGGTCACCATTGCAACCACGAATGGTTACATTATGGATGGGATGGATTACAAACATTCGAAGCTCAAGCTGACATACATTACGCTGGTGAGCAAATTGGTTGTTCGTAGATATACTTTAACATTTAGGAGATGTCCGACTTGGCTAGTCATGTTTCTCTCTACATAATATATGGTTGGAAAGTTTATTAAGATTGTGGGCTTGTTTGGATTAAAATAAATCTTCACTACTACAGAATCGATTTTTCTGTACAAGACCCCCTCTAGGCTGAAGACGGGCCGAAACTGCGCCAACATGCAAAGTTGCTTCCCCAGGGTCGGTTCAAAGACTGCATGCGAAAATACATTATCTCAAGAGGCCGATTAAGAGGTCCGCCTACGAAAAGTTTGACCGTCCTTCTCTCTTCCTTTCCACATCTTCAAAATTTTATAAGTTCTCATCCTTATCTTCTCACCTCCTCTCTTCCTCATCCTTATCTCTCTCAACCCCCCCCCCCCCTCTTCTCTCTCTCATTTCTCACCTCCTCTCTCCCTCGCCTCCCCCTCCCGAGCAGCTGACAGCGTGCTCAAGCTCGGCGACGGTGACTGTAGTCGATCCCTTCTCTCTCAACTCCTCTCCCACGAGGATTCGGCAGCTAACTCCCCTCTAGGCGGGATCCGCCGTCGGGTGGCGCCGCAATGGGTTCCGCTGTCGAGCATCCCCGTGACAGGCGGATCCACGCTGCCGCTGCTACCGGGGTGAGAAGGGGCAACGGTGGAGGTGGTGAAGGCATGGGGGCAGGGCGACGACGATGAGTATGAGCTGCGGGGCCTCTGTGGCAACGACGGTGACGAGCGATAGCAGACTATAGTGTTAATGTCACCTGTGGATGGGAGCTAGATAGGGTTTTAGCGATTTTTCTTTCCGAGGGTGGGCGACATAATTTACCGCCCGCAGAAGGCGGATTTTCGCGGACAGGTGCGCTGCCCTAGCAGGCGGCGACCCAACCACATGCGAAAATTGGTTTTGATTGTATGGGAAAATAATTTTTTTATAGTGCTTTGTCCTACCAAAAAAATTTGGCAACTTCAATAATGTTATATGGATGTTTTGTTTGCTATCAATTTTTACACATACTATACAAATTCTATACTATCAATCTAGTGGTACTAAAACATACCAACATTTTGGCACTAAATTTTGGTATGACAAAAAAACCGGCTCCAAACCAATTGGCCCTATTTTCAATTCAACAAAAAAGAGTATCATTTGGACTTCCCAACAAAAATAAAGCACTAGTTATGGATCACTGTATGTGAGCAACCACTTTGCCATCAAGAATGTTGTACCGGCCACCAAGGATCACTGTATTTGAGACTTGCCCACTACACGCTGCTGCTACTTACCCAACGGTGGTGGTGACCGGTGATCAGTTGCAGATGAGGCCGACCCTACCTCCTTGTCCAGTGGCTGGTGTGCCTGCCATTTCACATTTACTTCAGCATTCAGCATAGAGTAGTATAAATATACACCGGAAATTACGTATATAGTAGACACCCAAAAACTACCATCAAATTAAAAAATAGACGTATGAATACCTTTGCATCGAGAACTACCATCATTAGGGGTCAAAATTTTACTCATAATGACGTGGACGAATACGTCTATTTTTTTATGTAACTATAGCTTTCAGGTTTCCACTACATATGTGTCATGTGGTTTGCACTGTATATTTTTCCCGTGTAGCAGCAAGGATAGAAGTCATGGAACGCCAAGCCCAGCCAAGCAACCAGACTTACCCTACTACTGTCGGATTCTATTATGTTTCGAGCCTTTTAAAAATTATTTTGTAAATAGATTCTTAAAAGCACATATTTAAAATTAGACCTTTTTTCCCGACGCTAGTGATCCTGTTATCGAAGTCCAACATCTAAACGTCAATGATTTAGCTATCACATGGGGCTAGGGTGTCAACGCTAACGTTATTGGCGATATTGACACCAAGACATCTCGGTATCATTACCTTTGCACCGAGAAAAAACGTTGATTCCTAGAATAGTTAAAAAAAACTATTTTTAAGATAAATTTAGATAAACATTTGTCCAGATTAATTCTCATAAGTTAGTTTCTCATAGCACAGAGGGTGTAAGTTTTCTTAGAGCTCTATATATAAAATAAGTTTTTAACTAAAAGAATCAAAAGATGTAAACTACTAAAGCCATTCACATTGTGTCCCAGTCAAATGAGGAGCCTCAGACTGCCACATAGGCTAGGGTCACAGGTCCAAAATTTGTGGTTTTAGGTGTGGCTTTAAATTTATATTTCAGTCCCTACCACTTATTTGATTTAGTTTTCATACTTTTTTCATTTTGGGTAGAGGTTCAAAATTTATACCAAAGACCCTAGACTCCAAAACAAAATTATAAATTCCTCCCTCCCCCGTCTCTCTCCCCCCTTATCTCCTCTCGACCTCTCCTCCACTCACTCCCGACAACGAGCCAGCGACTTTGGCTCCCTCCCCTCCTTCACCGGCTGATGTCCTGACTCCTCCCCCTACCGGCGACCGAGGACTCCTCCCCTGACCTACGACCGGCGTCCATCCTACCTTGGCCGGCGCGCCGGCGTGGAGCTCGGAGAGACAGAGACTACGAGCGGGACGGCCGCTCAGCGGCATGGAGCGGGGTGGCACAGAATGGGACGGCACGGATCTAGTGGTAAGCATGGGAGGCGGAGGACTCGAGGAGGCCATCATCAAGCTGCTGTTGCGGACTGGCCAAGGTGGCTTGGAGCGGAGGATGACGACGAGGTTGACGGTACGGAACGGGAACGAGAACGAGGTTAGGACCTATAAATGATGCCGCCTCTTCCTTCACCGCCTCCTCTTCCACCGCTGCCGCCATCTTCCTTTCTCCCCAGGCCGCCGATGCCCACGCCATCGACGTCATCAGATCCGGCCACCGTTGCGTTGGGAGCGACGAAGCACAGGCCCACGCCCTCTCCCAACGTGTTATGCGCACCGTTCCTCGCCAGTTCCTCGCCTCGCTTTGACACATGCCTGCTAAAACTGACGAAGAACACATGCCCAAGTTTAGCGAGTCGGTGTAGAACGCCACGGTGATGCACGGCAAATGGCCTAAGGAGTAACGTCTACTGCTACTGGAGTGTGCAGCCAGACAGTGCCACAAGCCCAACTTGCCACCGGATTGATGATGATGCCTCACGGCTTTAAGTGTGCGCTCGTTCCCACGGGCAAACGTCCCCACCACCTCGTCTTTCACGTGCACGCTTCCCAAGCTGTTAAACGGTGTGTTTTTTATAAAAAAAATTATATATAAAAGTTACTTAAAAAATTCATATTGATCCATTTTAAAAAAAAATAGCTAATACTTAATTAATCATGTGCTAATGGCCTGCTCTCGATCGGGCCCTTAGATCAGGTGAAAATATGATGAGATAGTTGTACTACACTCTACAAGAATCGCTAGTGACGGACAGCGCGCGTGCCACATTGCCAGTTACCACATGCCAAAGCAACCAACCAAAGCACCACAGTTAATTGTAGGAGTATCAGTGTATCACTCACTAGTCAGAGAAACGCCTGGTCGTGGTCGTCGTCGGCTTTCACCTGTGGCCGCCTTGGCGGCTCTCCTTTCCATTCCATTTTTACCTGATCTCTCTCTCTTTCTGCGTACTGAGCCCCTGTGACACTGGCAGGTGGGCCCACCTCCTGCGTGGTGGTGGGTCCCACCAACACACGCATTCAATGCCACCCTCATCCAGAGGGCGACGTGGGTGGGGCCAATGAGGCCCATCCTTTTTGTAGACGAGAGGAGAGAGAGAGAGAGAGAGTACGAGAGTCGTCGCTGGCGCGGACGCTGAGGCTACGCGGTTTCCCGCCACCCATGTGCATTATGACACCCACAACAGTTATATATAAACTCTCTACAACATATCCATGTCAGCATATTTTTCTAATTGAAAGATATTAAGGCAATACATGAGAGAGTTATAGATACCCATGTAGACATATTATTGAGGTGGTTTACTATTAATCTAGTCTATTGCTGAGATGTACATATTTTATAGATAGCACTTTACTTTACATTGCGGGTGCTGTACCTACTGCTACGAATCTCTCGATATTTTTTGGCGGGGAATTCCTCCACTCTCGCGCCTCTGTTTCCAACTCCGCCCGGAACATTCAAATCAAAAAAAAAAAAGAAGAAATCGATGCACCGAGCCTGCCTGTCACGGTATCGTCGTTGCCCGTCACGGATATCATACTATACCTTGCAAGATTCGATTCCTTGTAGTACACACAGTAAAACGCAACGGCACGTTCGCGTGAGATCAACGGTGTCCTGTCATTGAAACCGAGGCTAAAGAACGCGATTCCGTGTAGTACATCCTGACGGGAGCGATGCGAAATCCAAATCAGGCGATGAAAAAAGAAAAAAAAAGCATTACGGCGTAGCATCTCGTCGGCGACGTGCTCCGTCGTTGCCGCTGCCCCCGCTGAGAGCCTCACTCTGACCGGTCCACGGGTAGCGTCGCTTTCGGATTAACATGGTAGAAAATTAAGCGGAAAATATTGAAGAACATCTTCGCCCGAAGCTTCGCGCCGTTGAGATGAGATCTGCATCCGCTAGCCGAAATCCAGTGACGTTGATGCAGAGACAGTCAGACAGACGAGTTTGTTCGTCTTCTCCTTTCTGGAAAGCGAAGTGTTTCTCTGCCCCCACACACAAGCAACTCAACAGGCAGATCTTCGCAAGTTGGAAGGTGAAATCAGAAAAAGATTACACACAACAATTTTAACAACGACGCTAAATAATAATAATAGTAGTAGTAGAGGTAATTCACATTACAAGTTCTTATAACACGCTAATAATATTACAAGACATAATAATAATAATAATGCTACTACTACTGTTTACAACCTGTAAGATCAGCAGTAGAAGGTAATAACAGACTTTAGAAGAGCAATGGACGCCACGGCCGGAGTAACCGACCAGTGACCGGCCACCGGAGACGCACGCCGGACACAAAAACGCCGGCTGCCGGTAGCATCGGCGTCTCCGGTTGAGGAAGAACACCAACCAACCCTAGCATCTACAGAGGAAACAAGTCCGGAGAGAGATCGATCTACGTACACAAACGAACCAAACCAAAAGGATTAGGGACTATAAAACTGCTAATCCATGCCCGTCCGTGCGGTGCAGAATGTCTAAAATCCCATCTGCACGGCGGCGGCGGCGGCGACGATTAGGCTAACGACGGCGTGAGTACTAGCCAAGAAGTGGTGGTGGTGTTAATTGGCGGCGAGGAGGGAGTCCCAGTCGATCTCGTAGGACGGGTACTTGGTGAGGGCGAAGGCGGCGGCCTCGTCCCACGGCGCCTCGCTGAAGTCGAGCTGCTGCATCTCCGGCACGGTCGCCGGCGTCTCGGCCGTGGTGGCGGCGGAGGACGGCGACAGGGAGGGCGACGAGTCGGCGGACTCCAGGCAGGACGACGCGTCGTCGGAGGACGGCGACGAGCAGTTGCTGGTGGGCGCGGAGGATGTTGCGGCGGCGGAGGCGGAGACAGAGGACTTCTTGGCGTTCTTGGCGGCGGCGATGTTCTGGCAGAGCGTCTGGAGCTTGGCGTCGACGGAGGCGTGGAGCGGGCCGCGGGAGGCGGCGTTGTCGGGGAAGTTGAGCCGCGCCGCGTCGCCGCGGAGGCGGTACGCCGCCTGGTCGTAGGCAAGCGCCGCCTCCTCGGCTGTGTCGAAGGTGCCGAGCCAGAGCCGCGTGCGGTTCCGCGGGAGGCGGATCTCCGCCACCCACTTCCCCCAGTGCCGCTGCCGCACGCCGCGGTACAGCTTCTGCGGCCGCGGCGGCGTCGCCGCCGCCCCCGCCGCCGAAGCCGACGACGACGACGCCTTCATCGGCTGCGCGCGCGGGCCGAGCGGGCCGGCCTGCGCCGCCTGCCGCTGGAGGTGGAGGCGGGCCTGGATGTAGTGCATCTGGGCCGGGCTGAGCTCTGGCTGCTGGGCCAGCCCGCCACCGTACGCGAACGCGTGCGGGAAGGAGAATGGCGAGGTGGGACTAAACTGGGAACAAACCGGAGGCGAGCCGGAGGCATCTCGGATAAAAGGCTCGAGTGCTCTCATCAGCTCCTCCCCTGACAGATCTATAGCTGCAGCCATCTACTCACTCTTTTTTTTGGGATTTTTTTTTCTGATACTAAAACAGTAGTAACAAAGATTTGCCTGGTTCCGAATCCAAAATCAAGAACAGGCAGGAAGGAGGGAGAAATCGACAGCCACAGTAAAAAAACAGATGGCTTTTTGGTGGTAGATCTAGCAAGTGAGGTGTGGAAAAAGAACCCCTCTTGGCTACCAACCTAACACTAGAACACAAAGAAGATGAAAGAAAAACAGCAGATCTGGGAGCCCTGGATCTAAAAGGCCCTGGGTCTCTCGCTCTCTGCAAGCAACCTAACCAAGAAACCGTAGAAGAACAGGTGGGGGAGCCAGAGGAGGAAGAAGAAGAAGAGGGTTTCGAGAAAACTTTACCTTGAAGACGCTCGAAGTCGCTCAGATCTAAAGCTTTTCTTACCTCGCTCGAGCTCACGGTGGCTGTGGGTGTTCGTGGGCTTGGAGATGGTGGCGGCGGCGGTGGGAGGATGGCTGTGGATCTGGGTGTGTGTGTGGGCGAAAGTGGGAATGGTGGGCGGGGAGGTGTGAGGGACGCCATTGGAGCTCTTTTATAGCAAAGCTCTCCAGCTCCAAAGACCATTACCGGTTAATCCCCTCCCTTAATTAGTAATTTCCCTCGTCTTATCGCCCCGGATTAGAGCGGTAATTGCTCAAAATAATCCGTGATTAGTGGTTTCCTTCGATGTTACTCCTCCTCCCGCTAATCGCTTTCTCGCGATGACAGCAGCAGCGGAGCCTGCATGGTCTCACTGCCGAGTGGGCCCCACGCGGTGACGCATAATTGCGGCAACGCAGCGTGGAGGCCGTGACACTGGGCGCTGCTTCCACTGGATCCGGTGCGGCGTGGCGGCAGGACGGGTGGAGCCGTGCGGCTCCACCCCGCGCGCGCCACGTGTTGAGGAGGTCGACACGTGTCGGCGGCGTCCACCGGTGCTTCCGGTTAGCGGGTGACGTGGCAGGGTGCGAGGTGGGGACTATACCTGTGTTTGGTGTTCGATGCGCCGCAGCGGCGTTGGAGCTGGCGCGAATATTCCACGGGTATCCGGCCGTGGCAAGTTGTGCATTTTTTCTCTTTTTTGTAGAGGGGCAAGTTTTTTTTTTTTTGAGAAGGGATAGAGGGGCAAGTTGTGTCTTGTGTGTTTGATGATGAACTTCCTTTTGGTCAGCAGGTTGCCCTGTATTTTTCTTGTTTTAACGCAACCGGTGACTTTTTGGTACAGTGTGTTTTGCTCTCATGTTGCTGTGTTTTGAGTTTTGACATCCGGAAACACCATTCAAATGCTGGATAGAAAATTTTGAAAAATTAGAATCAGATTATACGTGTGAAACAGATTATTGGAAAACATAGATTTTTTTTAGGATACAGTGTTTGAAATATGGAAATGTTAATCTTATTTTTTATTGTAAAACTTGACAATAATTTATTGCAATCCCATATGCTTGCAGGAAGGCCATTGTCACATAAGAACAAATACAGTCAGATAATTTAGATGGTTATGATTCATTCATGCTGACAGAAAAGATAAGTTGAGATAAAAGGAGAGAATAGAGAGCATTGACCAGCAACTAATTAAATTGTCACTAGCTACATGCGCACTCCAAGGCAAGCAACACTAGACAAGTGTATACTCATCCATAGAGTTATGGAGTACATGTAAGACAATGCATAAACTGTGGGAGTAACAATAGCAGTAGGAATGCGGCGAGACGATAACAAATATAGAAAAGCAATGTCAACTAGCGTGGGGACTTGAGATCAAAGCGCTCAAAGACGACGCGATGGGCATAGTTTGTTGGGGGTGACAGAAGTTGTGACCTCGAGGATGATGATCGAAGTGACGATTGTGTTCTCCATGTTCGATGCATCCAACTATCATCCTATTATGTCATCGCTCGGTTCAATCACTACATCCATCTGCTAGCTCTCCACTAGCAACTATAGCTAGGCTGTCTTTAAATCTAAAATTTGGATCCAAACTTTAGTACTTTTCCATCACATTAACCTGTTATACACACAACTTTTCAATCACATCATCTTTAATTTCAACCAAAATCTAAACTTTGGATCCAACTAAACACAACCCTAGTCTTTGCGCTCGACACATAGCCAGTGTTAGCCCATTCTTACTCTGTTGTCTACATATGCCCATTGCAATAGCTGAACCAAAGCGGCAGTGGCGATGAGAGAGAGAGAGCTAGAAGCTTCTCTGTGCACAAGATCCTTATCAAGAGACTAGGCTAGATTTTTTTTTTCATGTGAAATTGTATGGGGGGGGGGGGGGGGCAGGGATGGATATGCATCCAATTGTATTAGGTCGTGTTAGATGATATCAATGACCCTATGCTAATCCCGTTACAGAATATTCTTTAGAACAAAGAAAAATAAAACATTAACATTATATTGTTTATCTAGTTAGTGACATCTGCAATATTTTTTACTGAATCCACCCTTAAAAGAGGTAATATATAGCATTTCTCTGAAAATCAAGGTAGCAAATTATTTAAACCAAAGGTATCTACAATTGCCAATCCCAAAGGAATGCTAATTAAATCCTCTGTTTGTCCTTCATCTATCCTCTATTATCCAACATTTTAGCTGGTAAAACCACAAGTTACCAAGATCAGCATGTGACCTATCATGAGGCATGAGCCATGTAATGCACGCAGGATCCTCTTCTCCTGTTTTGCATTCTGAATTCTGTTTGCGCTATGTAGCTCTCTTCATCGATTGTTCCTCTGATGTTACAGATGCAGGCATCGATCGATCTTCATCGCTAGCACGCATGGGATCGTCGTGGCCACGGCATTGCCTGCGATTTGTTGGCGTTGCTCTACACGTCTCGATCGTTGCACGTACGACGCCATAACCACCTCGTTAATTCCGACGCTGCTACTGCTCCTGTACATTTGCATCACCATCACGCAGTGGGTACCGACGTGTCGTGTTCAGTGATGTACCCACGCATCGTTTGATGCTATTTCAGAGACTTGCTGATTTTGAAAACTAAGTGCTAACAATAGGATTATAGTATGATTAGCAACCGGTCAGCATTGTGCCATTTGTCCCAGGGAAGAATTAGTGGTGCCAATAATATACCTTTCCGTCTCTGTAATAGACTTAACTACAGAAATTAATGTGACACACGATACACAAGTGTATGCCTGATGACAAATCTACTGATGAATGATGACAGCATTCGTATTTGACAATCTAAGCTATTAATGGTCAAAGCAAAAGGTCCCGGATCTTACATTACAACAAATATCTTAGTACTACTACATTACAACAAACGAGTGAATTAATTAGTACTCGTATTCAATTGCGTCCATGTTAGAAGTGCAGGAAAAAAGAAAGTATCAATCAATATATAAATGCTACTAGCATAATGTACTAATGGTCCATAAGTTATGGACAAAAAGATGTTGGTCATGTGTAACTGTTGGCTCTCCCATAATGCAATGCAAGGAAGTTGACCTGACCTCTGGAAGATCAAATTAAACCAACAGCTTGATCCCAGAAAACAGCTGGGCAGATGGAACTTACTTAGCTGGAACTAAGAATATCAAATTAATAATCCAGATCACCGGTTATTAGTTGACTTTGTTGTCACCCTCACTGGTTCCACGCCTATGGCTAGTGCTTAATTATCATGCATTTTCTCCTCGTCCGATTCACTGTTCAGCGTGCTTTGTGTCTCTTGTTAGATTTGTTAACGGATTGCTCGTAGAATGATTGCGGTTCAATGGAGCGAATGATCGTAACTTTGCCACACACCATCACTATGGAGTACGGACTTCTAGCCAAGTAACCACTTAATTTGAGAGTAGGGGGAAATGAAAAAATTAAGAGCATATATAAAACAAGGTGAGCCATTAAGTATTTTAAATTTAAAAATAAATTCATATGACTTTTAAAGGATAGATAATTCCACCGTTATCTTCCTAACATAAAATAGAGTAGATAAGAACTAGAGGTAGTTTGATCAGTTAACAACCAACTTAAATCCTTATCGGTTTAGCCCCCAAGCCCACTAGCACTTGTATAAGAGGGAGAGATGCACGGCCAAGAGGACTCTCAAGGCTCGTCGCCAAAACCAAAGATCGGTCTAGTGCTGGTAGGGTTCATAGTGGAAAAAATCAGACTAGGTCAGCGGTTTAACCCGAAAAAACCGGAACCAGAGGTTGCAATGGTTCGGTCGAATAGAAAGACCGGACGTACAATTGAACCGCTTCAGATCGCTTGAACCGGCCTGTTTTGTGATGAACCGGGCAATAAACCGCCTTTGGTCGGACCAGACTAAGGCAAGTTAGTGAATGAATGTGCCACACGATGGCCCAGTTAGTGTGTTTTGGGCCATACTTGTGCGCAGGCTTGATTTTTTTTTCGCAAAAATCGAATGAAAATGTGCGCTAGTGGGGAGTCGATCCCTGGTTGATTGGTTACGACCGGCCGGTTCACGGTTGGACTGTCAGATCGGTGAACCAGCAAGATGACCGGGTCATCTATTGGTCCGATTTTTTCCACTATGGTTCATAGTGCTAAACCTAAACCGGTGACCTAGTGAGGTGAGTGCCAGTTAAGAAAAATCCATTGTGAAGTGTTACTAAAGTAAGTTTATGGTAATTACTCAAGTATAGAAACAAACAAATTAAATATTAAAAAGTTAAAAACTTGATTTAAAAATGTTTTTTGATAAATGCTTATAAGTTCTTGTTAAAAAAAATCGTGTTGTTTAGGGGCTTGTGAAATACTACTCCAATGTTTACCTTGAAAAGAACGGGAACTAATAGGGGTGAAAACGGAGCGGATTCGGACGGATAGTGGTCATACCTATATCCTAAACAATTTTTATAAATGGATTCGGAGTGGATGCGGATAGTGTACGGATGTGGATGCGGAGCGGATTATTTCAGATATCGAAAATGGTGCGAAATCGGTTCGGAAACGAAATAAATTTATTGGATGTTATGTATGTATGCAATTAATACAACATCGAGTTAGCGATGCAAGGAACAATAATACAATAATCAATAAACAACCCATCGTAATAATTAAAGGCTTAAGTTCTAAATAACATGAATACATGATGTCCATAATATAAAAATACTGCTACGCAAGTGTGACATGAGACGATGAAAGCCTCATACTAAGAAATATATATTAATTGATGAATTAGGCCATTGGATGGACCAACTTATATAGTTACATGTGTTGATAATTTCGGATTATCCAAAAAATGGCTTATCAGATAATCTGACAAAAATATCAGATAATACGTATCCGTATCTATATCCGCCAGATTTCTAAAAGTTTATACCATATTCTTATTTCGGACGGATTTGAAACTGAGCGGATCGGATCCGTTTGCTCCCCTGGGAACTAAAGAAAGGGGGGCACACATGGCCCCCACGAAGCAAGCGGCAGTTGCAAGTTAGTTGGCGAGAGCAGCAACACAGTGCCCAACATCTAATTAGCCTGCACCGATGATCAGTTGCTCCCATCTCGTCAGTCGTCGGGCCGCTGAAGCTGAAAGCTGAATAGGATCGCAAATCCGCAATCTTCCGGACGATCGATCGATCCACGCATCATCAAACCCGTTCTTCCTCCCAACGCATTGGCATATGCACGACCCATCGCCCCATGTGCTGCACGACGTACCGTGCGCCCACCCCAGGCGCCGGACAGGGCGCCGGGCACGGCCCGCGCGCGCTGCCGAGGCCACATGCCCGCTGTCTCTCGTTGTTTTTTCATTTTCAGAATTTTTTAAAATTTTTAATTTTAAAATAAACATATTTAAAACTTATTTTCAAGAGGCTTGTTCACTTTGTTACCGTTTTAAACCTTACCAAGTTTTGGCATTGCTGAATTTTGGTAAGATTGCTAAAATTTTGACAAGATTTTATATGCAGTTACTAAAATTTGTCAACAAACTAAATGTAGCCGCTTTTTTTTAACTTTACCAAAACTTGGTAAGGTTAAAAATGGTAGCAATCGAACAAGCCCAAGATGTAAACCTTCTTAACCATGCCAGTTGGATTGACGTGGCAAAACAACAATGTCACGTTGACGCCAAACTGACTGGCGTGGCAGCGTTCACGCTCGCTGTGTGTGACGTGCCCCAGTGCTGTTTTGCCATGTTATACATGCTGGCGTGAAAAAAAAAAGATTCTAAAAAAAGTTGGGAAGAATTTGTTTTTAAAATTAACTAAAAAAATTAAAAAGATAACGTCTCGTCACCTCGCCCCCAGGCCTCGCCGCCGGGCGCGCCCACACTGCGCTGCGCTGCGCCACACATGTGATGCTGCCGCTTGCGTGCGTGCGCGCCGTGCAGCGCCTCGGTTATTCCGCGCGTTTCTCCTCCCCCTTCCCCTCTCCCCCGCGAGGCGCCGGCGCATGCAGTGCACCTCGATCGTTGCGGTAATCGCGTGTGATTGATTGACTGATTTGCTCGTCGGATTTGCGGCTCCTTTTTGTGCGTGTTAGTTTCGGTTTGTGGCGTAAACCATGTGAGGGCTTCGCTTTTTCTTGTTTTCGTTTGGTGGAGGGTACATCGTGCGTATGCTTGGACTGGAGCGTTGATTTGATTAACTTAACATGGTTTCCTAGGTTATAACTTTGTCGACTAGTCCATTAGTGAAGTGGTTATACGAGCAGGTTAAATAGCAGGCTATATGCCAACTATCGAGAAGAAAGAAGAGAGAGATGAGCAGCGGGTTACAGGTCTGTAGCCAGCTGCAGTACGAGCTTCAAAACGAAATGTATCTATGATAGGTGTGACTATATACTAATAGTTTAGTATACTTTTATATGTTACTATTGTATAAATTGGCTATTAAATTGATTACAGATGATTTGGAGTAAGTAGCTGGCTATACTATCGCATCTACTACTAGGTGACTGCGCGACAAAACCGCAGTTAACCGCTATAGCTAAGTTTTGGCTGTGTTTAATTGCTTCCAAAGTTAGAAGTTTGAGTTGAAATTGGTATGATGTGACCGAAAAGTTGTGTGCGTATGACAGGTTGATGTGATGGAAAAAAATAGAAGTTTAGATCAAAGTTTAAATCTAAACACAGCCTTTATACCTCAAAGTAGACGTTAGTTTGTCGGCCCGGGGAGTTCATTACCGCAAAAAAGTTAGCAGCTGTTTTGATGATCCGAGTCATGTGCTGATTGTTCATCTAATCATCTTTTGGAGCCTCGCTGACTGTTCATTTGTATCCTAGTAGTCTGTCTAGCTAGCAATTAGTCCCACCAATGTCAACAAAGATCAGGAAGAGAGGCAAAAGTGAGGTGGTTTCGTGTGGAGTGAAGGGGAGAGCCTTTTTGTGTGGGACGAGACGGCTCATGAGACAGCAGCATGCGCGGCCGCCGCGGCGTCTGTCCCCTCTTCTCTCCCGCCGTGTTCGCCTCTGCATGCCTTTTTTTTTGTTCCTTCACGTCTGCTGCCTTGTGGCACGGCGGCTGCCTTCCGTTCGATCCCAGCTTGGGCTGCTTTTGCTGATGCGCTCACGTTTTCCCCAAGTTATCCGCGCGCGCGCGCGAAGTCGTCGCGGTGATGGGGGAATGTTTGGACCATGGAGTAATTTGGAGAGAGTTTCAAGCGAGACAATTTTCTTGTTTTGAAAGCGATCAATCCGGTTTTTTTTTTGATGATTTTCAATATTTGGTTGGTTCATAAGTAGTGCTATAGCCGTGCCTTGCGATTGCAGTGTCGTCCGTGACAAATGGCGATGTTGGGCCTACCACTCATAAATCTTTGGCTACATAGTTAGGTTAAAACAAGTTTGTTTGGTAGAGTTTCAACTTTTAAATTTAACCCCAAAAGCTGAGTTTAAATCGGAGTTGTGAAGCAACCTTAAACCATGCTTCACTTTTCTAGTTTATTTTGTCAGGGCACTTCAACCGATTCTATTTTCTTTTTGAGTTTCTAGTTTATTTTGTTAGACACTTCGACTCTGTTTTCTTTTTGAGTGGCTGAAACTTTATGATTGGGATCTAACACCAGGAAAAATAGAACAGAACCAAACGTACCCTTAAAAGTTATCCACCTTTCATGGCCCTTGAGCACCCGGCCATTGGTGGACCGCCCAGTTATTGCTGGCCTCCAATTGGGACGAGAAGCCTCCGGGCTCCAGACATAATCACTCACCCAACCCAAGCAGTGTCCAACCGAGCAGCCCAACAATCAAACTGAGTGCCATTTTGCCACAAAGATCAATGAGAGATTGAGAGTACCAACCAAACCTGCCAGATCCCATCAGGGCAAGCAAAACTTGGCATGTCACTGCCTAGTGCCAACATCGCTGCTTGCTGCATGACTGCATCAGAAACATATAACCAACACAACAAACAGCAGGTAAACTTGTCTACAAACTTCACCCAGAAGCATAAACAGAATCACCATTTCAGTTACAAAAAACGCTGACTGGCCTAGTCAGGAGCCACCAACATTCGGAACACAAACAGGTAAAAGGAATGTACAGTTGACGGGTATACCACCACCACCACCACCGAATCACCATCTTTCTGACGAAACTTATTTCTTTTTGTCCTATATAAACTGAATTCAAACAAATTTACCAGGTAATGGGTATGATCCTGTAACTTAACCTGACCGACCAACGGCATACGCCTCGCGGGCAGCCTCGGTTGAGTTCTTCACGCTTTCAGACAAGCTGGACATGGCTGTTGAAAACTTTGACAGCCGATCGAACATGGTTGCTAAACCGGCCTGCAGGGTTGCCAGCTTCGATCCAGTCTCCGGTTTGTTACCTTCTGCTTGATGATTCTTGAACATTTTCTTGAGATCTGACATGATGTTCTTGATAGAGCCCAAGGTTTCTTCACCCGGGAGTGACGCGATTGCTGAGGACCAGTCATCAAGGAGCACGAACATGGGAGGAGCAAGGTGCCGGCGAGGCGAGAGCGTCAGCCTCCTTCCCCGGGTGTGATCGTAAGGTTGCAGCACGCATTTCTGCAGCCAGGAGTGGAGACCATCCACATAGCATTTGTAAGCAGCAATCCAATTCGTCAAGCTGGAGTAGAAGAAACCCATCTCGTTGACAAGGTTCACCAAGGGCTGCTTGTACGGCTCGCCGCGAGGAGATCTCAGGACATAAACGATATCCGACGACGAGACGATGGTCTGCTGAACTCGGTGAATTTCATGCATCATTGCCCACATGCGCGTCAACCTATGTCAAGCACGATAAAAGAAGTATCCAAATCAATGCCAAGAAGTTACCAATAAGGGCAAGCTTGATCTTGTTTGAGCGATTCGCATTTGATGAAACCATGAATACTTTGTTGAAAGGGTGCAGCATTTAACTGAAAATAAAAGGAAACATAGTTCTGACAATGGACTTACCCTTTTAATAGTTCAAGAAGTTGGGGCTGCAGCTCTTCATCCCTTAACTTCTCAATTATTTTAGAGATTGAATATAGCACTTCAGTTTCTACCTTGAGCCGCGAATACAAATCTTTAACAATAACTCGAGTCTTGTCAACTTGTCTGGCACTCGCATCCCTTTCAAATTGGTGCCTTAACTGAACGCATTTCTTATCATATATCTTCTTGAGTGATTCTGTACCCTGCAGTTCATAAAGTAGCTAGGTTAGAGTACAGAAATCCAATTAAGCAGAAAAATATATAGTATGCCTCTTACACTTAGACATAGTAAAATACTGTAGCGGTTCTTTCCCCCATTTTTTTGTTACTCCTACAAGCTATTCTGAACCCAAAAAGATCATGACACTAATGAGGTTATATCCTAATGCAATTTCTGCATTCTGTAACCTGTAGGAACCTCTAATAGATAAATACAAATACCATATATAACCCCAGATATTTAAGACATTATTACAAGGGAGTGATTATAAAGATTTAAGATAGTGAAAGAAACATATATGGCTGTGTGCATTCATAGTTGATGCAGAGGCTCGAAGCTACTGCCACTATATAAAAGAAGTCAAAACAAACAAATCAGCATGTTCCCTTTTTTCACCAAGGCCTCCCTGACCACTCGCTAACTCACACTCCTCCCCACGCTTCCCAAATCTACTCTCCAACATAACCTTCTTACGTACTTCGCCAATGTAATCAAAGTTGCCTTCAGCCTTACATAGCAATCCTCTGCCCCCAATGCATAACTTATTTCTCTAACACATCCTATGCATTACTCAACTCATTTTTTATGGTATGCCCATAAATTTAGGCACTTGTTTTTTGTTTAGACGTTAGAAATGTGCTACCTCCATGACTCCATCCCAAAACATAGCTACTTCTGGCTATGTACCTGGACAAGTACTTGTCCTGGTGTATAGCCAGAAGTGCTATATTTCAGGACTGTGGTAGTATATAAGTATCCTCACTTTAAGAAATATCTATGCTAGGGGTGTTATATGGTTCTCAAAAGATAGAGGTACCTTCAGTAAAAAGTGGTTGATGATTGCAATTTCCTTTAAAGTTATGGTACCTATAATACCTTTCAAACACCGACAAACATCGCTTTTGAAATATAATACACTTTTGGTATGTGCAATAGGTCACTGTCCGATGGCTGTTATCCAGAAAGGGTTGAATAAACATGTCAATACGTCATGGTCCCCACATAGGTAAGGCGAAGTGTGCCCTAGGCTAACACTTGAGCACCCTGTCGTTTGTGGGAAGAAGATCCTTACAAGCATACTATAAAGCTCAATAATAACATCTAAAGCTCCACCTCACTGCTCACTGCCACTAAAATTAGAGAAGGTGAGCAAGGAAAGCAAACGTGACGGTGGTTTGCACCTAGACCCAGTTGTGACAAACCGACAAAAAGACTTGGGCACACCCAATAGGTGGCTTTAAAATTAGATGTTCTTTCGTCGACCTAGGACTAACACGCCACCGCCATTCGCCACATTCTCTCTGGCTTTAACAATAACTATGTGGCCTTAACAACATATGTATCTTCTCTCGGCCATAAGGTGAGGAGATACCTGCGATGGCAGATCTTGAATGCCTTAATAACCATATAGTTCTTGGTTGAACACCTTAATAACCATATAGCGTTAGCCCATTTCTTCATGCAAATGTATGGGTGATTTTTTTTCATGTAGTGTATTTAAAAAATAAGAGGCTAACACAAAAGAAACCAACCATGAACAACAGAAAAAAAATGCAGAAACATGGCAACACAAGTTTTTCTTGAAAAATGAAGCAGTAACATATACAAAACTATAAACCAAAAATATGAAAGTGGAGCAAAGACTATGTGGAACTCTTCCCTCCATGTCTTATTATTATCCAATGTTGCGGTAATCTAGGTTCTTTCATCAAAACCATCGAGGCAATAAGAATGCCAATTGCAAATGAATCGCAATGATAATCTAGAAATGCTATGTGTTTGAAGTTTGCATCATAAAACCACAAATTAATGCAGAAGTACATCCTATAAAACAAGCAATGCTACCGAAAGAAGTCAGAAACAATATACATTAACACATTTCACATTTTTTTACATTAGTAAATACATAGAATGATTATAATTATTTAATCCTTAAAAGTAGTTATGCATGCTATTTTGCCAAATTGGACTGTGCGTTACATAATAAGGCAGATACTAATGCGTCAAAGATTTTTTTTCATACATTTACCTTTTCTGTATGAGTTTGCGACTTTGCGTTAATGTATATTTGCATTAGGAATTGTTGACAATAGTGGTAACAACTATAATACAATCTGTTTTGATACATTTCTAATAAAACACAAGACAAGCAGAATCCCATGGTTCTACACAGATGCTGTAAAAGATCCATTGCCAGTGCAATTCTCTTATAAGCATCGATTGAAGAGCACATATGAGCTCACCTTTAACTCATTATATAGCTTCATTTCCCAAGCGTAGAGTCTATCTAAAGAGGATGCATGGCTTCCTGAAATCATACAAAACTCTTCAACAAAGTCACTACAGATCTCTGAAAATTCATCGTCCATTTGAGCTGGAGTAAGTGGGTTCTTAGATGCTGATGATCGCGATGAAAGTGAGCGATTCCAAGTGATTGCTTTTGTGACACGCTTCTCTGATCCTGCAGTAAAAGAATGAATGATATTTTTGCAATAAACATCAAAATGAGGCTGACATTGTTGGAGTATAAACTACACCGAAGTTCACAAATTTCAGTATTTGTCTGCAGAAGATAAATATACCATCAGATGCTGCAGTTCCGGCTTTGCAACCGATGAGAAATGTTGGTCGAAAAAGCACATCTGATGATTTTCCTGCTATTCAAAGTTTATTCGAGAAATTAGCACCAATGTTAAGTAGAAAAAAAAAACACGAGGACACTACCATCATGAAAATGTTGTCCTAACCTTTTGTCTGGGAAGAAATGCTAAGGCGGATCTTCTTCGTCTCAAGCATCCTCGAGACCTCATGGCAGGATACAGCTGCCCTAGAAAACTGACGTTCAAGATCTTTCACACAGGAAAGAAAATCTTTGGATGAGTCAGAGTCAGTGATGAAAATGGCCTTGGCTTCTTCATTTTTGGGAGCATTAACATTTATATGGTTGGCCTCACTTTTAATATTATCACTAACATCATTAGAATTCTGCCCTCCTATAGCCTGCGTCTGTACTTGCTCGAGCTCTTCCTCCAAGCTTGAGTCATTGGGTAAATGAGTACCAGACATCTGAATTTCATTAGAATTAGAGTGGTGCAAGTCAGGAAGGTTATCATTTTTGTGAACCTGTTTCCATCCAGGTGCACCAAACACTTCTTGCACCTCAACAATTTCACTTGTGTTTCCAATTGAAGAAGCCAAACCCATTTCATTTGGATTGCTCAGATCTTCCAACGTTCTCAATTCAAATGTTTGGCTGTTCACTGAGGCATCTGATGCAACATTTTCACTAACAACAGTTGGATCAAAGAAATCCCATGAGGAGCAAAACTCTAGCTGCAGCGGTGGTGGAAGGAAAGCAGTAACCGACTGCTCCTTCTGAACAGAGCTAGCCTGACTTGTGTTGATTGTCACTGTCACAGAAGTGCTTGCCTCTGACTTCATATGGTTAACATCGGAACGGTGAGGTGGCGATGATGATACTATAGCATAAGAAGAACTAGGAGACCTCTCTATATCATCATCATCCTTGTGTGCCTCCACAAACTGCCTTAGAGCAATGCCAAGACTGCGGAGAGATTGCTCGTATGCAAGTTGAGCAGCTGAAAGGGCATACCTTGCATCAATTGCTTGTTCAATGTGTCTCAACCGATCCTTGCAGATCAGTAATGCGGTGTCGTCGTCTTGCTTTGAGACAGATGAACCCATGGTTCACTTCCTGATAACAGCAAAAAAAAAAAAACTTATACCATAAATACAGATAAAACATGCTTATCATGTCCAGGAAATTCATGGTTTTTACAAGGACATCACCATTTACATTCATGCCCTAGATTTCAGGGTTAGTCTCAAGCATTATAAAATCTATGATATGCACCAGAACATGGCCATAAAGATGTGTTTATCAATTTTATCAGTAAACTGAATTGGTTAGCTAAGAAAACAGAAAAGAGCAAATACAAAACGATGTTTCATGTCAGAATTTAGAGTGCATTTATCGTTGACAAAGTCCATTTCACTTGATTATCGACGAGACATGATTATAAATTCTAATCTACGCATGTTGAAACCAAAGGATTTAGCACAAGTATTGAGGCTAATTATAAAGAAAATTCAAGATTCCCCGCAGAAAAATAATAATCAAGATACAACAGAGAAACTGTCCATTGAACTCTCAGTTTCAGGGTATCCATAGGGACCACACCAGCAAATGAAACCAATGATTATTAAACAACTTGGGATCTAACCAACACGAAAACTTCAACCCGGTGAAAACTGAAAAGAACACTTTGTTTAAGACCACACCTGAACTTTCTGAAGAAAAAAAAGAAAAGAAACAACACCCTATTTTGCCACAGCAATATAATCATTTTTTTAGATAAAGAGCAATATGATCATTGCAATCCATTGATTCAGGGTGCCTATGCGCTCGGAGACCACCTAATGATTAGTCCATCAATCAAGCATAACGAAATCAAAAGTACACGTCAAACAACAGAGAAAAGAAAAAAAAAACTTCACAACACAGGACGAAGACGAAACTATCAATCTACAAGACCGAGCGGCAGTGATGAACTGACTGAAACACTCACCTGAAATCCTGAACAAGTCCAAGATGATCAGCCAAACATCACCACGTAGATAGAGCGGTCACCTCAACATCGTACCACCCCTGCAATCAGGGAAACACGGTCGCATGAACAAGAGTCAGAATTCCGATCCAAGAAACCAAGGAGAAGAAATTAAAAAAAAAACCCCAAAAATCCCCAGCCGACCATGGCGGCGCGGCGGAGCAAGAACCGAGGCAGGAGATCGATCGATCGCATCGCACCTTCTCAGGCGCAGCGAAAGCAAAGCGGCGACACACGGAGAGAAGAAGCGATCCTTCCCGTCCCTCGAGAAGAGAACTCCCTCTCCCTGGCGATCGAGTCCAAGAACCCAAAAGGCAAAGAAAAGGAGGAGAAAAAGACCTCGCCTTTTAATTTGCAACCCAAATCACACAAAGCGGAGCAGCAGAACAAGCCAAATGTAGATGGCGTTACTAGCGCATTCATCAGCAAGCTGTGATCTTTGCTCTCTCTAGGATTGTCCCCTTCCTTCGTGCGAACCTGGCACTCGCGGCAGCTAGCCAGCAGCGCTGACGCGGCAAATGCGGGCGTTAGTAGTGATCGATCGAAGTGGTGATGATATGATCCGGCTGCGCGCGCGAGGGCGGACGGGATGGTGACGACGGCGGCGGTGGCGGGCGGCCCATCCCCACCCACCCACCCTCCCGCGGCGCACGCGCCGCATGTGACGCAACGGGGCTCGATCGGCGGACGCCGGTGAGGGGAGGCGGCGCGTGCTCGGTGTGAGGAGAGAGAGAGAGAAAAGGAGGGGCATTTATTAATGAAGCGGGAATAGGGGGAGAGGGATTTTGGGTGGGGCCCACAGGAGCTGCCTCCGGGCCCACGCGTCAGTGGGGGAGACGGGGGTGTGTGATTGACTGTAGATTGTAGGCGAGTGATGAAAATGTTTTGAGCTCTTTTTGGGGGATTTTAGGGACTGTTTAGCACAGCTCCAACTCTAGCTCTACCCCTTCTGGAGCTGGAGCTTAATCAAATCCACCAAAACTGGGAGTGGAGTTGGGTGGAGCTCTCTAACAAAATATACTAGAGTTGTGGAGCTGAGTTTAGGCAGCTCCACAACTCCACTCCAGACTCAACTCCTAGAGCAATATTTAGGAGTTAGAGCTGTACCAAACAGGCTCTTAATTAGGATGCATGTTCATCACGTTTTAGGATGGAAAATTTGGGAGGAGTAGAATAGAGATCATGGGTTTCGTATATCGGAACGTATATGGTGCTACCACCTATTTTAGTTTCTCGATGGATTAGGGTTATGGAGTGAGATAAGCGAGGGAAGGAGCGTTGGAAAGAGGAAGAGGGGTTTTAAGTTTCTAGGCTAAGAATAGCTAGGAAGGTAGTAGTCATGGGTGGGCAGTGAGGCTTAGGCGACGCTATTGAAGCCGCGGGGATCGAGAGAGGGCGGAGGGTAGGGTTAGCAACCGGGGAACACAAGCACAACCGCCAACTAGTTAGGGTAGGCGGTTGTGCAACCAGATGATAAAGGTGACGTCGTTGGCTGTGGGAGTGGGGATAGGATGAGGAATGTGGAGGAAAGGCATGGTGTTGATGACAAGGATCATTGGCAATGTAAAGGTCAAGCTCACTAGCGTTTTTTAGGAGGTTGTTGGCGCCAAGTAGTGGTGGTACAGTGTGCAACGCCGTCGTCTCAATTTCTTGTCGCTTCTTCCCCGATGTGGGCATGTGGTTGGTTGGGGGTATGAGAGGATATAATAGATAAGAAGATGGCCATGGCCGGAAATAGGGTGCCCCATTCTCGCAACTTGCTCAGCTTGCCCTTGCATGCATATTAGCATTTCCGTTGTTTCCATCTTCTCGCGCTTTTCTTTAGGAGATATTTAACTATTTATCACTCTTACAAGTCACTTGTAAGATCCTTAATTGCCACTTGTAGAAAACACCCATACGTCATAAACTACGAGTGGCAAATCTTTAATTACCACATCTTAAATGTGGCAAATAGTTAAATGCCCCTCTTTAGGAGTAAACATCTTTTTACATATATTCAGTACTGATAATTGTAGTTCTTTTTTAAATTGTGTTACCATCGAGCTCAGTTTCGCAACAAAAAATTCAAGCTACTAATTAACATTTATAAAACCCGTTATATGAAATTAAATGTTTTCTTTATAGGGGATGCACTGCTCATGGAGTTAATGAATTTCCCTAGTATGCATGTGTTTATCTGCTACCACAAATATTTTGCAATTTTCCTCATGTTTCCTCATAACTATGAAAACATTATGAAAATTCCATAGTTGCGTACAACTAAATGTTTTCTTTATAAACACAAGTTTCGTATGGAGTTAATGAAGTTTCCTACCCTGCATATGCATCATTTATTTGCTAATTGCTACCACCGATAGTTTGTATATTCCCTCATGTTTCCATTATAAAACTTGGTGAGAGGTTCATTTCTGTTCTCCACCACCTCAAGTTTAAGTTCTCTTGGATTCAATTTGGGCATCTATTTCATTAAGGTCCTTTTTGACATAGGACCAAATCCATTTGGAGTTGAGTATTTAGTCATAGAAATCTATGGATATAGAGTCATGACTGCATTGATAACATTTGGATGAATTATTTTGTTCCTATTTTAGAGAAACTTTAAACCATTGTAGCTTAACTTTCAAACTCCAGATCTAGTGTGGATATGGGATTTTTTTTTTACATTCAATGGATATGGGATTTGGAGTTGTGCCAAATAGGATCTAAGTTGATACTAGCTTAGTATCAATTTAGTATCCTTCAAATTTAAACATTTCATTTTACTGTGAAGATTACAATTACATATTTAAACTGTGGTGACTATATGCAATGGTGGATCTAGCGCAAATTTGTATCTATGGCGAACACCAAAGTGTAAACCAAACCCAACACTAAAAGAACTCCAAAAATAGTAGCTGAACACAATTTACAAGGGATTAGGGTGGTAACATTTTTTTTCTAAACCTGAAGTTATAAACAGATCTTTTGTAACAATCAAACAATGCCTTCGTATAAATAAATAAATGCAATTGGAAATTAGCACGTTGAATGATTGTTTACATGGTTCACCATATGAATTTCCTTCCAGTCACTCTCTTCAACAAAATACCTAGCTTCTACAAAGAAGACTCTAATTATTAATCTAACAATATAACCTATATTATCTTTCTTTTCTTTTCTTCATCCTCATGTAGCAAAATTTTATTTTATCAAGGCTACGAGTTGATAGGGCGCAACTAATTAGCGCAACCGCGTTGCCGGCGCAGACGCTGCCAAAGCCCACGCACGGGCTAGCCCCGGTACGACGCCGCCAAGGCCCACGCACGCGCAGACGCGATAGCCTGAGAGTTTTTCCTTTTTTTCGCTTTTTTTTCCGGTTTACGCTTTTTTTAATCGCTCCCCATATTTTCTTCACGTGCTTGTGCGATTTTTTTCATGCTATATTTTATAAATTGAATATTTCACCTCCAATTTCAGTTCAAGGTTTTGAATTTGAGTTGAAAGTTTTAAAAATTTAAGTTGAATATTTTGAATTTTGACTTGAAAGTTTTTAAATTTGAGTTAAAAGTTTCAAATCTTCAGTTGAAAGTTTTCAAATCCGAATTGAAAGTTTTAAATCTTGATTTAAAAATTTTCAAATCCGAGCTGAAAGTTTTCGAGTCTAAGTTTAAAGTTTCAAATTTAAACTTGGAAGTTTTCAAATCTGAGTTGAAAGTTTTTAAATCTTAGTTGAAAGTTTTCAATCTTGACTTGAAAATTTTCAAATCTAAGTTGAAAGATTTCAATCTTTACTTAAAAGTTTTCAAACTTGAAAATTTTCAAATCTATATTGAATGATTTTAAATATATGTTTAAGCTTTTAAATCTTGAATTGAAAATTTTCGAATATAAGTTGAGAAGATTTCAAATCTTACTTAAAAGTTTGTTTTAGTCAGAAAAAAAGGAAAAAGAAACACACATGATAGTTTCCAGAAAAGAAAAGAAAAATAAAAAAAGAAACTTTTTTCCGTGATATGGGATAAACGTGTAACAGAAAAATAGGAAAGAAAATCAGAAAAAAAGAAAGAGCGCTAGGAGGCGGGCACAGCTGGCAAGCTGGCGCGTACGCGTGAGATAGCAATCATGGTTGATATTAAGCTTAACATCCATGTTTCTTTCTCCTCCCCCTTCCTCTCTCTCCAATTATAAACATTTGATGATTAGGATATATTTGGTCAAACTTCTAAAACTTTAACTACTCAATGTTATCAAATGTTTAATTAGCTTTAAAAAGAATAAAAGGAATGGTATGGGTATATTTGTCTTGAAAGAACTATCATGATATAATTAATTTATTCTAATACAAAATTGATGGTTTAAAAGTTTTACAAGTTGCACCAAACCTTTACCTTAAACATAAAATATTTACACCTGTGCATGTAGCTCCACTAAATCCAGTGATAGCCTTAAGCATAACAAACCATTGTCATTTTGGAGAGATATCTCTATTTTTTTTGAACATAAACTTAATAGGGAAAAACAATCTATTTATGCTTGTTTTAGAGGCACACTCATAGAGTGTGTTCAGGCCTCCAGCCACAGCTGCTGTGGTTGCAGCAGTTGTAAATGGTTGTCAACTGTAGCTGGTGTGAACATTGATGTGGTTTGCATGTATAGCTGTGTGTACATAACAGTATAATTCTTCGCCTCATTATTTCATTATATTTATCACCAAAATACAGTAACAAATCTAACTCTTGACAAACGTGAGATGTATCAGTTGCAATCTCCACTACATGCAGGAAGAATGGAAGATTGTGATGGATCCTCGCAGCTGATCGATCATCTGACGGCTCGAGAGACAAGAGGCTTGGTGCCCGCTAGTGAGGGTGGACTTCATGTCAGTGACAAAAACACGGTGCAATAACTGTAGAGGATCTCAATCTCTCCTCGGATTATGATCATGTGCAGTCGACTGCACCGTGCCTTTATCACTGATATGTGGGCTCGAAGATCATCGGACCCGTATGTTAGTGACAAAGGCACGGTACAGTAACTGCAGAAAATCTCAATCTCTTGTCCTCAGGCCAACTTGAGCAACTCCACGAGCAAGTCGCCGGTCAAGCCGTCGTCCGACTTCCCGGTGCCGCCGCTGCCGAACTCGTTCCGGACGACGCTCTCCAGCGTCCACCCGGTCTTGGCCGCGAACGCCTGGTTGACGCGGCGCACGTCGACGCCCGCGCGCGTCACGACGGTCCGCACCAGCGCCTCCCTCGCCGCGCTCCAGCGCCGCGCGCACCGCCCTCGCGAAGTGCCTCTCGGGGAGCTGCGCGCACCGCAGCGCCGCGCGGAGGATGCCCGGGAACGACGACGACTCGCCTCGCCGGCCACCGCCGCCGCCGCTGGTGTCGCCGTCCTTCCTCTTCAGCGCCCGCGCGAGCTCCTGCCCGTACAGCCGCCTGTACGACGCGAGCACCGCCCTGAGCTGGTCGCCGCTCCGGTGGCGCAGCAGCTGCAGGACGCTCCTCTGGTCCACCCGCGCCGCGCTGATCTCCACCGCCTCGTACAGCGTCTTGGCGTCGCACATCGCCATCGTCGCGTCCACCCGGCCGCCATGGTAGCCGCTCCCGCTCGATCCCAAGAACGCGAGAAGAACCTATCAAACATACACACACCAATCGATCGAACACGAGATAAACGGAATCTGATCAAGCGATCGGCGCAGCTCTCACCTCGTTGAGGCTGCCGCTTGTCCTCGACGAGACGTCGCGTTCGAGGCTGGCGCTGTACCGGGCCTGGTACGCCTGCCTGATCAGCGCGACCTCGCCGGAGGGCCGCGTGCACACGACCTCGACGAGCACGTCGCCGTCGATCCGCCGCCCGAACAGCGCGTCCCTGGCGATGTCTGCGTCGCGGACGCACGGCTCGCTAGCTCTGAGGCACGCCACCCTCTGCACCATTAATTTTTTGCGTGCATCAGCTAGCATGGCGCACGATGGCGATCGAACCAGACAAGATTGAAATATGTTTTGACACAAGAGGATCAGAAGCTGGGATTACTGCAAAGGTGGTCTTCTGCTGCGACAGTAGCTGGATGAGATCTTGGCGATACATGCTGCTGTAAGCCCTGCAGATTTGCTTCATCTCCTGGCTGCTCCTTGCGGTGAAGATCTCCAGGACCGGTCTCGCATTGTTCGGGGAAACATTTCCTGCAGATTTTGTGATAATCAATCGTGGTTAATCTCTGGCAAGGAATGAAGCTAACAGAGATTTGTCAAAAAAAGGTTAACAAAGGGTTAAATTACGGATTTGGAGATGTCAGTGACATGACACCATGTTTGAGTCGTGTTAGAAAGAAAACGTATGGCAGAAACATGTATGAACATTGAACAGTGCAGTGAAACAGAAATTGATACAGAATAAAATGTAAACAGATTGTTCTGATAAACTGTTCAAATCTCTGAAAAAAGAAACTGATGAACTGTTCTTGATGCTAGCATGAGACAAGATGGCGGTGCTGATATCATCAGTTGATATGTACCAGAAAAGAATTGGTTGAGGTGTCTGCAGTCAGCTTCATATCTCTTGGCAAAATCTCTAATCGAGGCCATTTTGATCAGGGAATTAGAAGAACACAACTTATCAGCTACTACCACTGAACTCAAAAGCGATCGATGGTGAATTAATCGCAAGCGAGACGCGAGTAGGATTTATACATTTCAGGGCTAGACACGCTTTGGAATTTCGCCTTCTAAAAGCGATGAGCAAAAGCAAAAGGGATCGAGGGAGAATATATCCTCCCTTGCAAGCTCAGCCACCGCGAGTTCCCGCGACTTCGTTTTCCTTAATTTGGGACGATCCCTCTCTTAAACAAATGAACTTTCATCTCAACTTTTCTGCAACCATCTGTTTCAAAACTCGATTCCATCTCACGACGAGGCTGACTGCCCGATTATTCGTAGCGGCTAGCGAGGTATAGGAGAAGATGCAGAAAGAAATCGAGCATTAGAGCTAGCACTACTTGAGAAACCATCTTTGTCTGGTCGGCCAAAAACCACAATAATCCCGGTAAACCAGGACTAAAGATGGTTTTTAGTCCCGGTTTATAAGAAGGACGGGGCTATATAACCTTTAGTCCTGGTTGATCTTTACCCCCGGTTCACATGCTGTCAGGGGCTGTCAGGCCCCTCCGGGATCTTTAGTCCCAGTTGGTAACTCCAACCGGAACTAAAGTTCAAATCTTTAGTCCCGTTTTGTGTTAACAACCGGGACCGGTTGGTATCACAAACCAGGATTAAAATTTGATGTACCGTATATAATCCGTATGACTTATCCTCTCAAACTCTTCATCTCCTATTCTTACTCCCTCTCAAACAGGCTATAGCTGTGTGGCAATTGTGCAGGAGATGGCGATGTTGGGTGTTCATCAGCTTGTCAAGCCGACGATGGCCGTTTGTCTGGATGGCAGCGTCACCATATTCGTGAAAACGAGTGTGAACTAGAGAAGGAAACAGGTTCATCTTTTCGATCTGTGCCAACTTGGCTTTTGCAGAAGGAAAGCTGTGTTTATACCATGTATGTATGAATTTAATTAGCTGGAGTACTGAGAGTGAAAAGGTCGTCTTTCGCTAGACTTATCTGATGGAAAGTTGGTCGCTACTTATTTATCAGGGTATGTACAATCATCATTAATAGATGACTTTTAGTTTTACTAATTATTAAGAATATTTATTTAGATTTAGAAGAGAGAAACATGAGAGACAAAACATCATTGTTGGGTTAACAGCGAACTCAACATCTACTTAGCCTCCATAAAATGGAAACAAGGTTATATGAGTGAAAAAAAGATAACAACAAATTTTTTTTTTAGTTAATGGTTAGAGTCTTTTTTCCTTTTGACTGTTGTATAGACATGGTTTTTAAATAACCTCGTACTGTAGGTTTATACTAGAGTCTATAATTGAACATGCCCCCACAAAGTTTAGAACAGGGATTTCCAAACCCACGGTTCAGATGAGGTAATAATAAGCATTTTGTGTGGATATTAATAAGAAGCTGATAAGATGAGTGCAAACTGAGTCTAAAGATCAGGCGCCACGCAAAGCTAGCAGATTAGGATCATCCCATTCTTCCTGATCAGTCAGTATTTAGCTAGTGTGTGAAATCGATCGGTGATTGAAAGTAGGGTGAAACACCTCTTTGCATTCTCATTGTGATCTGTTCAAATCAAACATCCCCAATTCCAAAAGAACATAGACGGATTTACGGAAGAAATTAAAGATCATGTACACACAAGAGTTTAAGTCTTGGTGCACACCAAAAATCATGTACGCTCGACGTATTTTCAATAAGATTTTAATAAGATTAGGGATTAATTTTGCCGCTGACTTCTTTCTCTTCAAACATGTGTTATAGGGCACCTTAACGAGTGACGAGTGTGGCGAGCGTGCATAGTTGTGAGTGTTTCTTCCATGCAATGTAAAAGAAAATATCAACATTAGCTAACCTGTTGGTTCACCAGTCCAACGGTCTAGCTGGTGATCGGGTGGTTGCATCGTGGTCCACTAAATGTGTATATTATAAGTTTTCTATATACACAACCAATATTTGTCAAGTATTTTTTATTTCAAAAATACAAGATGATATGGGCCATAATGGAAGAACTGGCCTTTGGATAACCCACCACAAACAAACTACCTAGTATTATCGGTGGTTGTTCGATCACCTCAAAACTGCCCGGTTCAGCTGGTTCTAAACAGTTTGAATGCAGATCCGATCTTTCGATACAATTAACTAGACTGGTTTGGTTTTACTAGATAAATCACTGGTCTGATAGATCCAGCTTTTTTGAAGATGAGTGGATGTGCAAGAAGCACCAAGCCCGTGCTTCCACACTTTGGGCCTGTACATATGATTATCCATGATGATGATTAATCGGTTAGCTCGGTAGGCGACATGTTTGCACAAGTTTCAACCTTTCTTTTTTTCTCCTTCAAAAAAAACCTAACTCCTAAATATGAATTTGAATAAACACATATTCAGATTTATAGCTAAAATCTAATTTTTTAGACGGAGGGTGTAGTCCGTGAGCTAGTCTAGTGAAGTGAGGATGGGAGCTAGCTCTCCATCTTGTTTCGTCTATTCACAAATTTCATCGCTTTGGGTATCCATATCTTAAAATCTGTGTTGTGTTCATTGCATCAATTTTTCACACATGACCAAGAAACTTCAAGGACCAGGGTTGAACTTGCTTGTCCATCTGTATATTCAAATTTTTCACAAGTTTTTGATAGAATTAGGCTTGTCTCTGCTTTGCCCGTTTTCTTTACTGTATGGTGCACTTGAGCCAACCTCAATGTTATCACAGACAGCACTCCCTAAAATCTCTGGGATACATCCATAATATCTCAAAATATTACTGTCCAATCCATTCCTTTTTGCCGGACGCTGTGTTGTACTCCCTCCGTTTCATATTATAAATCATTTTGATATTTTTCTTAATCAAATTTCTTTAAATTTAATCAAGTTTATAAAAAAATATAGTAGTATTTTCAACACGAATTCAATGTTAAATTTAATGAAACAAATTTGATATTTTAGATGTTGTTAATTTTTTTATAAACTTGATCAAACTTAACAAAGTTTAAAACAACTTATAATATTAAATGGAGGGAGTATTCACGACATATTTTTCAAACTGCTAAACGATGTGTTTCGTGCGAAAACTTTCTATATGGAAGTTTCTCTAAATATTAGATAAATATTTTTCAAGTTTGTAATAATTAAAACTCAACTAATTATACGTTAATACCATATTGATTTGCGTAAAACACTTAACCTTTATCTTTATATTCATCTATATGAGTTTCAAACACCACCTAATTTCATATGGTTTACACGTAACTTTTGCAGAATTGGAAAAGTTTTACAGTTTACAGTGCACAATGTAGGATCGAATCACAAGAACTAAGCCAACCAGAGGGGGAGGGGTGTGAATGGTTGGTATACGCAAAAACCGAAAACTTTTAGCGGAAATAAAAGTTACCCTCGAAATCGATGGATCGCGGTCTAACCGAAGTAGATGCACCGGTCTGACCGCCTGGTTGCCGTCGGTCTGACCGAGATTCAATCTCCAGTCTGACCGCCGGGATCAGCTGCCGCTTGCTGTCGCCGCCGCCGGTCTGACCGCCCGTATGCCGCCGGTCTAACCGCTGCTTGTCGCCGGTCGGACCGCCGTTGAGTTGCCGGTTAGACTGCCGTACCCGATGAAACACAAATCGAAGAACTCTCAAAAGTAGATGACAACTTTATTACTTCTCTCTATGTTTACAACGTGCAACAACAGCACTCCTTACAAAAATCTCGACTAAACTCGAAACCCTAAAACACAACGCTATGAAAAGCGATACCAAAAAGATACCGGGAAGCCTCACGCTCCCCCTCTATTTATACATGAGGTAAGCAACCTAAAGCCACGAACCAAACTCATACTAAGAGTCCTAATCCCCATAGGAAACCTCTTAGTACAAGAAACAAACTCTACATAACCAATCATACCAAATTTGGACTCCTTCCAAATTCGACTCCGTATCCCATACGCACACAATACCTCCATCGTATGCCATATGGAATCTCCATCAACCACGTGCATCAACTCTAGCCTTAGTATCCCGCATGATATCTGACCACCACGGACATTGTCTTACCACCAAGCCGACTCCCGGTCCATCAGTGCAAATACTCTCTCGAGGCATCGAGTCACCTACACATGAAACAAACAAAAAAACCATATTCCGAGACCAAGCTATCACCAACTTGACTCATTAGTAGCAAAACAACAGTATCACATACGTATAGTATCCATCTAGAAGCCATAACCATGAAACAATCACGGATATCCAAAGAAACAATCCGAAACCGAAACCGACACAGCGTCGGCCGGTCAGACCGTGGGCCGGCCGGTCTGACCGCTCAACACAAGCCGGTCTGACCGGCAACCACCGCCCGGTCTGACCGGTCCCGACAAACCAGTAAACCCTGTTCATCTCCTGAAAATTGATTATCTCCAAAACCACTTCGACGATAATCTCCAAATATCAAAACCAATAATCACAAATGCCAATTGTTCATCACAGAATAATAATCAAAACACACGTTGATCTTACACACAACACGCTCTCAAACGCCACAGTAAAAAAAGAGATGCCACCGGAACAAATAATAATCTCACAATGACAGCCAAAGAATTGAAAATATCAAAAACGGCAACCACCAGCAGACGCTCGATCGAGCCAAGTCAAGAACACCAGAAATCGATCTCGTCACAGCTCACACCTCGAACCAACGGCCGCGTCTAGCCGTCCCGTCCGCGCCATGCCGCCGCCGCTCGTCGGAGCGCGCGCGCAGCGTGCGCAGCTGCGCCTCCCAGACGTCCCTCGCCAACGACGACGACGACGACGACGCGTCCTCCTCCGCCGCCGGCCTCGCCGGCCGCCGCACGCGCATCATCAGCTCGGCGTCGTACCTGACCCGGAGCGCCGGGTCGGACAGCGTCTCGTAGGCGCGGCGGAGCTGGAGGAAGAGGCGCGTGGACTCGGCGCGGCGCGACGGCGGGCAAGCGTCCGGGTGGTACCGCAGCGCCAGCCGCCGGTACGCCCGCCGGATCTCCTCCGCGCCCACCTCCCCCGCCCTGTCCAGCGACA